AGAGAGAGAAAGAGATACAAAGATTGTTATCAGCAAAGACCAGTAGTAAAATAAAAACCATTGTATATGGGTAATTTTTTTCTTCACAAAAACACAAAAGACTGCAAAGAATACGTGCTTAGTGAGCATGTTTTTCACAGATATGTTTTGGGTTATTTTTTGCAGCTTTTTGTTGGTATTGGACTACATTGGCATCAACATGGCCTCCCTGAATTCCTGCATTAATCCAATAGCTCTGTATTTGGTGAGCAAAAGATTCAAAAACTGCTTCAAGGTAAGAGTTCCAGAGTAAAAAGCCCTTTTTAATATGGCACCAAATATAAAACTTCCAAACTACTATTATTTCTATCCAGAGAGATCGAGAAAGTTGTTTTACAGTTTTCCCTTACATTACATCATAGATAATTTTTTTAAATATGACTTTTGCTCACAAACTTACTGTAGTTGATTTCTGCCTATAAATCCCAGTCAATCATTTCCTACTGCCTCAAACAATCAGTTATACTCATAGAATTGCTCAGAAGATTAATAAAAATTACATGCATTGATGTCTGACACATCACATGGTAAATAAGAGTTAAACAAGAATTCGATTTGGGGTAGATTTTGGACTATGCAGCACAATTTGGATTATAACTAAATCCAATTATTTTTCATATGAACATGAGTATAGTAAGTCAAAGAAAGAAATTTAATTCAGGTTCTACCTCCTCTCTTCCACCTTCTTAGTAGAGATGTGTTACTTGATGTGGAATATGTATAATTATTCTTCATATGGCTGCTTGAATTGTAACATCCATCTGTCTATCCATCCATCTATCCATCCTTTTATCCATCCATCCATCCATCACTCTTTCAACAATCTAACATGTAATAAAATATTCTCACTCCTTCTATGGAAATTATCCATTTGTCTCTGGTAGTTTATTATTGTAAAGCCCAGAACTTAGCTTCCTTGTAAACTCTAAGGCAGTCTATAAAATGTTTTGTCCACTCATAAACTCATATTTTAGAGCTAGAAGCGAACGTTCATCAAGATCAACTCCTTCATTTTACAGAACAGAAAACAATGGATATCCCGTTTTTTATACATATAGATTCTCATAAAACAAACAGAATGAACAAATTTTTGAATTTTTAAAAATTCAAGAAAAAACTGGATAAATAAAACTGAGACACTTGTATACTTTGTAACCTTATTGTGTAACAGTACTGAATAGGCATATGAGAATCACATGTGGCTGAAAAAGTGGCAATGTAATATTAAATTCATTGATGTGGAAAGATGTTTATGATGCTGTCAAGTGAGAAAAAGCAGGCTGTGGAGTATATGTATAGTACAATTTTATTAACATTAATTGCACATACACTTCCACACACATGCACATGTATAGTCATATGTATATATGTGTATGGTAATATTTCTATTTGCATAGGAAAAAGTCTTAAGTTACATATTTATCAAATATTTAAGAGTATTTCTCAAGCAGTCAAGGTTAAATATCAAGAATCAAGAGTGACTTTCTCTTATAATTTTAATTAAAAGGTGAGCAGTTTTAATTATATAAGTTTTTCCTCATATTCTAGTTTAAAAATTATCATATGCTATACATGTAATCATATATTTTTAAGGGGAAGAGTAAGGGAGCATGGAAAGAAAGTGGCTCAAGAATTCTCAATCATACAAAGAAAGTCAGATAATATCACTGATGTAAATATATAACGAGTGACTTTGTTTTGTACAGTCATGCTTATGCTGCTGGTGCCAGTCATTTGAAGAAAAACAGTCCTTGGAGGAAAAGCCGTCGTGCTTAAAGTTCAAAGCTAATGATCACGGATATGACAACTTCCGTTCCAGTAATAAATACAGCTCATCTTGAGAAAGAATATTCACTTAATTTTATTTTCTTTATTTTGAACAGAAGTCATTAAAACAATGAGGCACTTGCCAAAACAAAACAACTGTGTGTTTGCACAAAACAGTGTAAAATGTAAGAGTGATTATTTTCTTAACACTCATAATTACACATGACATTTTATGAGCTGTTTACAGAATGAGAAGAAAAGCAGTGAGAATTAAGAAAGATTCATTGTGAAAGCACTTAATTTTTTACAGTCAGCACTTCAATGTAGTTCTTAATAATTTCCAGTATATTCACACACCACTTTTAAATTGAGCTCACTCAGTAAAGAAATTTAGTTTTAAATTAATATGAATCTGATATAAAGGAAACATGTGTCACCGTAAAATGGAATTTTTAAATGAAATTTAAGTCACTTAATTTAAATTTTAAAAAATCCTTCAAAACTTTATTAATAGTATCATACCAGTGGTTGGACTATTTTGACTATAAAATGTGTAAACATTTTGGCTGATATATTTTTTTGACATTAGAAACATTTAAATGATCAGAAGAAAGTATCAGAAAGGTAGAGATTTTTAAAAATCATCAAACCTTTTACATTCAGATAAGATCAAATGTTTCAAAGGTAAAGAGAGAGAAGGATTGGAATGCTATCCCAAAAGACTCCTTTGAAATATCTCATTCATCTACTCTGCAAAGAAAACACTACCTACAATTTTTTCAGGATTATTAATAAAACATTCTTTTCTTTCTTTATCCCTATCATAGTTTAAACGCTACTTGTTTAGTTTTATCAACTGTAGATTCTTATCTGTAATACACAATGTGTAGATTACACTAAGGGCAGGCCCCAGTGTTCATACCTGTACGATGGAGGGATGCCAGTAGCCGCATAACGGACAGAATGTGTGTCGCCTGGAGCAGTGTTCACATGACCAAGGAAGAGGCAGCACTCTCTCTCACCCACACTGTATTAAAATGCTCTCTGGCATATGTATAATATGATGGTTAAAATTCTGATTATTTTTTAAGATTACACTCATCAGTCAACTTAACAGCTACCTGTTACTTACTAATTTTTATACTATTTTTGTAAATAACTAATAAAAAAAAGTTCTTGATGTGGTGCTTTTCTGTCACTTACAGGTGAAACTGTTTTTTTGAGATGGTAAGAACTTCTTGCTTTTTGCATTCTTGCCTGATTCTTTCATCTCTGCAGCAAAGTGCCTTAGGTTAACTTGAGATGAGATGTGTGTGAAAGTACAAGAGAAAACGGAAGAGAGAGGAAATGAGGTGGGGTGGGAGGAAACCCATGGGGACAGATTCCCATTCTTAGCCTGATGTTCGTCATTGCCCCGTCATATCAATGCAAAAGGTCCTGATTCTGTTCCAGCAAAACACAGTGCAATGTTCTCAGAGTGACTTCAGGAACAAATTGGGCCCAAGAGCTTTAACTCAGTCTTAAAATATAACAGAGTTTCTACTTTTTTTTTTCTTTTAGTAACCCGGGGCCACATGTTGGAAATAAGCTAAGATGTTGTTTTCTGCCAGCTTCTAATGTGATGATACAGTAAATCAAAACCCAACAATGTGGCCAAAAAGAAAGGGCAATAATTAATTTACATGCCACATGGATTCAATCTATTTACAAACCACTCACAGTCTTGTTTATTAATTTCTTCCCAATCACTGTTTCAGATGCTTGTTATCACAAAAGATATTTCGAACTTTGGATTTTAAGCAAAATCCAAAAAAAAATAGACTTATATCTTCACAGTTTAATATATATTTATTTCTGTTTAAGTTTTAGCTCATTTTTATTATCATGTACCGAGTTTTGGTTCTTCCTCCTCATTTACATCCTTAATACTCTTTCTTTCTCCATGTCAGAATTGTGGCCTGTAACCATCTTGCCAAATTTTGAAGCTGCACACAAAGAGTATATATTTGCACTATTTGAAACATAATGAAATTGTGTTCATAGCCTTTATTACAATGTTGGGTTCAAAATTTTAATATACTGATAAAGGTTTACTAAGACACGAACATGATTTCTTGGCATAATTAAGATCAAGATAAGAAAATGTGTCACTGATTAACTTTAAAACACATTTCCTAGTATTAAGAACTGTATAATAGCAACAGACAAAAATAGTGTTAAAACGGATGTTAAAATGTAAAAGATTTATAAGAAATTTTAGCCTATTTTCTCCTTTATTCATTGCTCATAGATGTGCATGTTCAAACACCTTTTAGTATCGACAGCTTACAAGTGGCAAAAAGAACATAGTTTATAGCAAAACATGGGTATGCTGTAGCTAACTTTATAAAATTATAATATGACCATGTAAAATAATTATATATTTTGTTTTTCTGTGGTCGCTTAAAGTGGCAACTACTATATTCATGGATTCCTTATTATAAAAACAAAATAAAAATTTTAATTGTTTTAAAAAAAAGACCAGATTATTTTTCACTGTGCAGGCAATAATTTACCAAATGCTAATTGAATAAGTGTTTAAAGGAAATACAGAAGTTACAAGGGGACATTATTTATGTTTTAAGCATATAATTATCAAGAAAATATGAAAGCTGTTAAATTAAAATGCCAATTTCTGGTCTCTAGGCTGTGGTGTTATATTTTATTGTTATGAGGAACAATAAACCTCAGTTTCCCAAGGTTGACTGTGTGGTTGATAGTTTCCAATAGCACCTTATGTCTGTCTTTCTTTGGCTGCCTGCTTTTGGAGCATTTCACTATTTATTCAGTGTTGTGCCATAGGTCAAAGGTGAAAGGTTGAAATGAGATTTGAGGATTACTCATTTTATTTCAAAAGCTTCTTTTGAGGCTTCACTATATGCAAAGTGGGATGAAATTAATAAAATATAAGGTTCCTACTCAATAGGAGACAGAAATGATAACAAAACTTAATATAAAAAAATGAAATGGGAACTAAATAACTGCATACCTACAGCTCTTGAAGTTCATGTATCTGTGTCTCCTAGCACACAATCCCTTTCATCACCTGCCAAAGATAATCAAGAATTAGCATTCACTCTTCTCCCATGTAATTGTGTTACGCCCAGTTCCAGAAGTTTCTGTGATTTATCCCTGACCTTTGTGGGATTTCAGCCGCCTAATCTCAGCTGGGCACTTGGAGATATACATGTTCTGAATTCCAGGGGCTTATTTGAGATGTACAGGAAAGGAAAACATAGGCAGTACCCTCTTTAAAAGTCACCAAAAAGAGCCTACCTTCTTCTGAATAGATGTCAAGTAATAATAATAATAGTAATAATAATAATAATAATGCCCACACAATTTATTAAAGTAAAAGTAGGCAGAATGAATTCAATTTAGATTCTTGGAAGAAAACCAAGAAATGCGGCAGCCCTGAGATGGAAATGTCCAGAAATACACATAACACAGAGGGTAAGCTTGCAAAGAGCAATGACACTGGACTTATTTGCTCTCAGTCGTTAGTCGGCCTCAGAAGTGACAAAAGATGAAATAAGTACACCAAAATTGGAAAATCCCACTGGGTACTTCCAGGATTCAAGGCTCTCTTGAGCACAGGGAGTAACCTCATCATGTTAGGAAGGCAGCATTTGGAATGGAAAAAGCACCCTCTACCAAAAAAACATAATATCCTTGATTGTTTTGACAATATGGTTGACCTCAAATAAGTCATTTAAGATCTCAGGTTTAATTATCTATAAAATATAAATATTAATAATCTTATCCTAATTTTTACATCGAATAAACAAATTTGAATGGACTTACTATATAATTTTAGTGTACTCTCTAAAATATACATATATGAAAATGAAGAAGTAATAGTCTCTGCCCTCCAGAAACTCACCATCTAAAGATAGACAAATAAATAAAAGCAGTTAATAAGTTAATATATGGATATGTACATGACAGAAATCAGGGAGTTTAGGGTAACTCATCAAAGGAATTGGTATTTGAGTTGTACCTTAAAGGAAGTTTGCGAAGCAGAGAAGGCATTGCTGGCAAGATGACTATCTTATGGGAAAACTGAAAAGGGTGAAACAGCCTGGCCAGTTCAGGAAAACGGCTAAATCTCAGCATGTTCAGGGAGGGGCTGGGTGAGGTGGGGCTAGAGAGACAGGCAAGGAAGGAAGGGCCTTGTGTTCCATGCAATGGTATTTGCCCTTTCCCATGGCCAGTGTTTCTCAAATGTCAGAACTGCATGCCACAGACTCATCTGGGATGTTTGTTTAAAATGCAGATTCCTGGCCTCCAATTCTGATTTATATAATCAGAATTTCTGGGGTGCAGCCCAGAGGTATTTAATTTAACAAAGACTTTGCATAGCTCTTATGTACCTAAAATTGAGGAAGCCCTGCAGCGTAGATATTTGCAAAGTACTGAGTATTTTAAGGGAGGAATAACAAGATAAATTCTGTTTTCATACAACTGATTTAGAAACAGTATGGGGCAGGGATTAGAAGACTATAAAACAGAAAGCAATGAGATTGGATAAACAGTTACCGCAGTCGACAGATGAAAGAGATGAGAGTCTGAGAGAGGAAAGTGTGTGGAGATGGTGAAAACAGATCAGGTCAGATGGAAAGATATAGTCACCTTAACATACTGACCAGATTAAGGTAAAGCTCAATCAAAAGCCTTCTGGCCGGAATGACCTAGATCAGGGATCAGCCAACTATGGCCCAAGGGCCAAATCCTGTGTAGTGGACTGTTTCTGAAAGTAAAGTTTTATTGGAATACAGTCACATTCACTTGTTTGCATATTGACTATAGTTGCCTATCACTATGAGAGAACAATTGAGTAGTTGTGATAGAAATCTTTAGCCCACAAAGCCTAAAATATTTACTTTCTGGCCTTTACAGAAAAAAATTTGCCAACTCCTGACTTAGATAAATAATATTAAAGAAAAAGCGAGGTGGCAATTAAATCAGAGGAGAAAAAAAAGAGTTCTAGGATAGGATGAATTCTGTTTTGGATATAATAAGGTACCATGGAGAATCTACGGAGAAACTTGAGAGATCTATCTGGGTTAAAGACAAAAATTAGCTTATCATGGTTTAGAGATGATAATTAAAGAAGAAGATGAATGGAAATGATCAAGGAGAATCAGAAAAAGTAGAGGGGAA